TTTTTTTTTTTTTGTTTTTTTTTTGTTTTTTGTTTTTTGGTACAGGTAACTTTCCGGTTTCCAAATCCACAGGGGAACCGACTAATTCAGAATCGAGCCGAGTAGAATCACAAGGGCGGCAAAGCTCTCCCTCAAGAGTTTTAACACTGCTGCATTCCCAGAGCTCGAACACGAGACCACTGGTTAAGCTGGAAGAAACCCAAGTCATCTCATCCAAACGCTCTTGGGTCATTCACACGGTGATTTTTAGTAGCCCAAAGAGACTAATTAATCATGACATTATGATAACTTTTTCACTTTTCTTTCACAAATGTTTTAAAATACAATATTGTATAGTACAATTCAAATTATTGATGGTTGGATGGTTGCTCTAAATGCTATCTATTCTTATAAAAGTATTTGTTTATGCCCATTTCTTTTTTAACACAAAATATCGGTTAAATCGAAAAAATATCAAGGGCGTGTTTGTTTGTAGATTTATTGGTTTCAATTGGTATTTTTAGTTAAACAGAGTTAATTTTGTAAAAGTTGTTTGACTTAGTTTCGAGTGAGATTTTAAGTTTTCTTTAAAATAAAATGGTTAAAGTTGATTGAATGTAAATGTAGAAGATATGTGATTTCGAGTAATTTTAAGTTAAAATTATCTGAGTAGTAACTTAAGTTTGATTTGACGTGTATAGATGAATGATTGATATTATCTTATTATATAATAATATTGAGAATAGTGAGTCTAAGTTAAAATTTTGTTAACTTTGTGTTGAGATTGAATTTTTTTGGTTGATTTTTTTTTTATTTTTTATTTTTTTTTTAAACGATCATGCACTAAAAATATTGGCAAAGTCAAAAAACCGATTTATTTTACTAATTTTATATTATGTTATAATAATAATTTTAACATAATAGTAATAATTTTAATTTTTGTTTAATAAAAATCCTTAAAAATAAGCAATAAAATCAATTGAACCACACAACATGACTTGACACTCTCATTAGCTTATGAAAGGGAGTTAAGTTAAAGTTGGCTATTTATTGACACTTATCTATGTGTCAATTAAAGATATATTTTATAACTACAGTTTTGCTATGTAGCAATCGGATGACTCGACTTATGGAACAATCCACACTTATTCACCATTAGTGTATTGACACGTGTCTTACAATAAATACAATTTGGACAGGTGTCAATACATTAAGCAATGGACGGCTCCATAAGAAAACAATCCGATTGCTCCATAGAATTTTTGTTTATAACTAATGTTTAATTGAAGGTTGATTGATTTGTTATTGAAATCTTTGTTGGTAGGTTACCTTGTACCATGTTTTCGTACCTTACGATGTACCTAACATTATAACAAAGAGGCCCCCACTTACCAACAATCTAATAGCAAGTCAAAATCAAGGGTAAATATTATTATTATTATTATCTTATTGAGTTACCGCACTTACCACACATTAAAAATTACTGTTCAATATATTCTACATAAATAGTAATTTTCATATGATATGACACTAGAGCAAGGTAATTTTTGTTGTTAGTCACCAAATTACGTTGTAAAGCTTCCATACAAAAGTCGTGAATCATGATTAATGCGCTCCTTACAACGTAACAATATTAACAAATTTAATGTTCGAGTTCATTCGTTTTAATCGTTTATCTAAGTTTGAATTCTTTCGTACTTGAATTATTTAATAAACAATTTTATAAAGTTTTCTATGTTAATCGAAATCGTTTGAGCTTACAAGTAAACATATTTTGTTGAAAAAAATAATCATATTCTAGAGCAAGCTTTACAAATTAATGTTTACGAACATGTAAGGGGTGATTGTTTATGGATTTAAACTAGTTTTAATTTGGTTTATTTTTTAACTTTAGTTATTATTGAAAAAAATTTGGTATAATTAGTTGTTAGTGGATATATAAAAATAAAATTTTAATAAAATAATTAAAGCTTATTTGATGTAAACTGGAGAAAAATGATTAGAAATTATAGTTAGTTAAATTATGTAAGTGGATGAATAGTGAATGAAAGTTGATGTGATGTGTAAAAATAATTGATTAATATTATTTAATTGTATTGACAATATTGAGAATAGTGAAGTTGTTTTAAAGTTGAGTTAAATTTAAATTTTGAATAATTTATTTTGGATTGGATTCATAAACAATCACCCTTTAAACGAGTATTGATTTGCAAACTAACGGTTGGAAATGGTTTTCCTTCTATTTTAAGAAGTATGAAACTTAAAATTAAGGCTATGTTTAGAAAACATAGCTGATATGCTATTTTACACCTTTTAAGTGAATTTCGAATTTATTGTTGATAATTTATGACTTATGACTGAAAAGCTAGTTTATATGATAAATTTGTTTGGTAAAATTAGCTGATAAGTTAGTTGAAATAAAATTTTGAGAAAATTGCAATTTTAGTCCAGTAACTTAGGCTGTTTCCCATTTTAGTCCACTAACTTAGGCCGATCTAAATTTGGTCCAAAAACTTTCAAAAGTTAGTCCAAAACCTTAAGTTGTTTCCCATTTTAGTCCACTAACTTAGGCCGATCCAAATTTGGTCCAAAAACTCTCAAAAGTTAGTTAAATCACTCAAATTTCAGTCCAATTGATTGGTCAATTTCAGTCCAATTTTAGTCCAATTTTAGTCCAATTGGACTGATTTAACTAACTTTTAGGAGTTTTTGGACCAAATTTGGATTGGCCTAAGTTAGTGGACTAAAATAAGAAACAACCTAAGTTGCTGGACTACAATTACAATTTTCTCTAAAATTTTCAAAGAGTTTATTTGAAAAGCTAAACAAGAAAAACTTACTAGATAGGCTGGATCGACCTACCAAACCAAATTTAAAATACAAAAAATTTACAATTAATCAAATATACTATAAACTGACTTGCTTACCAAACACAACCTAAATAATCATGACGTCAAAAGAAGAACAAGCCCAACACGAATTCTCCTTCTGAAACGGTTAAAAAAACAGCTCGAACACATTTGCCCAAAGAATCTTCAAATTTTCTAAAATTTCACATTTGACCCCACATTTCACGAATATATAATTATTCCACCCCACGGACCAAAATCCCTATAAAAAAGCCGACGGCCAACGGTCAAATCCGCTCAACAAAACAATGGGAAACGCCTTTTGCGGTAAAAGGAGCACCAAAGTGATGAAAATCAGCGGCGAGACCTTCAAGCTGAAGGCCCCGGCTCGGGCCGGGCCCCTGCTTAGGGAGCACCCGGGCCACGTGCTGTTGGAGTCCGAGGCCGTGAGGCACTACGGCGTCCGGGCCAAGCCGCTGGAGCCGCACCAGGAGCTGAAGCCGAGCCGGCTCTACTTCCTGGTCCAGCTTCCCCAAGGGAGGGGACCCCCGCGGCGGCTCCGGTCGGCGGGGGAACCGACAAGCGCTAAGGATCGGCTCGAGAGCTTGATGCTGGCACGGAGGTCGGCCTCCGATCTGTCCGCGGTGAGGCTGGGGAGCGTTGAATCGGCGCCGGAGAACGCCGAGGGTGGAGGAGGAGGAGTGAGGGTTAGGATAAGGCTGCCGAAGGCGGAGGTAGAGAGGCTAGTGGAAGGGAGCAACTGTGCGGCGGAGGTGGCGGAGAAAATCGTCGGACTTTGGGCAGCCTCCGGCGGCGGCGGCGTGGCGGAGCGGAATCGGAGGTGCGGTTACGACGGAGGGGATGTGCGAGGCCAAAAAGTGCGCCAGGTTTGTTTTTCAATTATTTATATTATTTTTTTTAGCTATTTTTGCTTACGTGGATTAGTTGGGGTGGGCACCAAATGTATATATATATTTTTTTTCTTTTTAAAATTAAATTTTGCACGAAATATCTATACTAACTTTCACCGTTTTTTTTTGGTAAATTAAATACAGTAATACGTGATTTTGGTGATCAGATGACAACCAAATATATGATTTTGAAAACTTGAAAAATTGTTACGGTCCCATTACGGAACTATACTGTCGGGTTATTGTAACCGTTAAATCGTTCTCTTTATTGCAGAAGCGTGTTGGATTTTCGTCAATCAGAGAAGCAGAGATTCCTATAGTAGTGGCCTCTTAGCAAACCGGAATAAATTGAAAACTTTTGTAGTGCATGGTAAATGATCTTTTTTTTTTTCTCCTTTAAATGTAAAAAAATGTGAACTTTCACCGCGTGTCGAAGAAAAAATCTCTGACTGATATTGTATTTATGTTCTTTTTTTTCTTTTTTCTTTTTATATGTAAATAAGAAGAGCATAGAAGTGTTAATTAGATGTTGAGAATGCATTGGGTATAAAATAGCAAGTTAAACTCGAATGTTATAAAGTTTAACTAATAATTTTCCGGTTATACACTAGAGTGTAGAAGATTGAGCAAAACCTCAAGAGTGATCGCAATTGGAAATCATATAATTTGGAGGCAAATCGAAGCAACCAATTAACATAATAACATATGATCTTGAAGTGTTGTCGCTAACACATTCGATCGAATAATAACGGTCGCGTTTATAAGACAATAGTAGTGTAAATAGCAACTCTATATGATCTTACACACTAGTAAAGAACAAAAGAGGAAGTTAATGGGGGTATTAGCAGGGCGCGAAAGCAGGATTTTAAAATTGCATGGGGGCAATTTATTTTCTAAGAAACTATTAAAGACCATCATAAAATTCGCAACATCAACATCCCTGATATTTTTTAGGCTGCATTTGGATTGAGAAATTTATTAAGAATTTGAAATTTATAGATTTTAAATTTTAGCCAATTGAAGATTAATTAAGTTGAAGTGTGATATGGGATATTATATACTAGACCGGTTCGCTGGGTTAACCGAAGAAAATAGGCCGGTTCGTCGGATTACCTAAATAAGAATAGGTCGAATGATATGGTCGAGCAGGACCAAACACCTGCAATGGAGGACAGAGAGCAGACAGCAGAGACTAATGAGATCAGAAGTGGTCGACTGAGGAGTTGGTCGAGGGAGGATGGTCGGATAGGGCATGGTCGTACAAAGTTGGTCGAATAACGGAGCTACAAGGGAATCTCCAGCATGTGAAAGGGAGGACACGTGGCGTTCTAAGAGTAGTTCATGGCCGCAACGAACTCTGACATTCCCTGACAAATGGGATGCGTTTCCTGACATCAAGGGTAGTGGAGGCGCGCGGTTGTACGGACGAGCAGAGGACAGTTGGCCGAACTCGCCCCACTCGCGCGTGTAGAACAAGTAGCTCGCCCTTGTAAATAGGGGCGAGAATCCTCACTTTGAACACAATCTCTCATACTCTCATATTCTTACTCATATACTTTCTCTCTCAAGATCTGACTTGAGCGTTGGAGGCTCTTCACCGGAAAACACCTCCGGTGTGGGAGTTTCGTGCAGGTTCCACGTTCAACCGGCGAGGAGAACGAGCTTGAGGCGATTTCCAGCCGGTCGGGGTGCGAGACTTGTATTATTGGCACCGTCTGTGGGACTCTCGTTCAAAAAGTTGTGTTCTGAGCTCAGCTATGGCGGACGGAGTTCCTCGAGTGAATTTGCAGTCGTTGTTCGATGAAGCGTGGACGACGACGAGACCGATGGGAGCAGGACCTCCACCTGGGTTCTCCGGACCATCACAAACACCGGCGACCCCAACGCCGATGCCCCAGAGTACGGCGATCCCGAGTGGAGGAGAAGGCACGAGCAGGGAGCACGAAGCTCGTGAAGCAGTACCGACTGCAGTCCTCGCGCCGTTGCAAGCAGGCCCGGTTGTGATGCAACGGGTTGGACCAACGGTGCAGACAATGGTGCCGCCAACAGGAGGAGCGCCGCAACCCCCTGCCCAACAAATGGTGACCATGACGAGAGAAGAGATGCAGAGGATGAAGACATCCCAGGCTGCTACCACGTTAACCGCGATACCGGGGACGCAAGAGGAGGACGTGTCGAGTTATGGCCGAGGAGGAGAGCACAAAGATAGAGCGATGGAGAGGATGGCTGAGCAGCTCCAGCAGCTGCAGGAGAAGGTGGAAGGAAGGCGGACAGGCGCCCTCGAGGACACCCGTTCTCGAGGAAATCCTAACTGCGCCGTTGCCTGCAAGTTTCTGGGAGATAAACCTGATTTTTATGGGTCGAGCGACCCGTCGAGACATGTGAGGGCATTTGAAAACATGTTCGTCTTGCACGGGTATTCGGATCCGGTCAGTTGCAGGGCTTTTCTATCGACCTTACGAGGAGGCGCGCTCGACTGGTTCCACCAATTAGCTCCCGGTTCGATCAGAGACTTTGAGGATTTCGCAGGAAAAGTTACTAATCAATATTCAAGCGCGGTCGCCCAGAAAAAGACATACCTCACTTTGATGGCAATACGACAAGGCGAGAAAGAGTCCCTGCGGAAATATGTTGCTCGATACAACCAAATATGTTTAGAGGTGCCCACGGCGGGCGACGAGGTGAAGGCATGAGGATTGATTAGGAGTCTGCGACCAGGACCATGTCGAACGTCACTGGCGAAGACGCCTGCTCGAACTTATGACGAGGTGCTTAAGAGATGCAAGAAGTACATTAATCTAGAAGAAACGGAAGCGGAGTTTGCCAAGCTTGAGGAGGGGGTGAAACCTGAGCAAAGGAAGGGAAGGCTGAGCTCGCCCAGGAGGGGATCACCTAGGAAAAATTCCCCAAAAGGTGGATCCTTTAAGAAGCTGTCGCCCAGGAGGGATGGGCGAAATTCGTTCTGAGAGGGACGAGAAGATCGCTGGCAAGGACGACCCCAGTTACCAAACGGCTAAAGATATAACCATTTCACTCCTATCAACGCCCAGGTGGGCGAAGTCTTGGCGGCCATTGAGGAGAAGTTGGAAAGGAAGGAAGTCACGTGGCCGGCGACGAGGTTTGAGGGACCGACCAAACCCAGGTCGAATAAATACTGCAGATTCCATATGGATTATGGGCATAACACGGAGGATTGTAGGCACTTGAAAGATGAGATCGAGCGTCTCATACGGGCAGGGCACTTGAAAGAATTTGTCATCCGCGATCGACCGCGAGGTAAAGAAAGGAGAAGGTGCAGGGAGGATTCAGTAGCAAGGAGTGACAGGGATGATGATAGGGAAGACGACGCTAGAAAAGAGAGAAGGAGACGACAGAACGATGATCGAGAGGAGTTGAGGGGGGAGGTGCCCGCGAAGAGAGGCACAATTTATATGATCTCAGGAGGGCCCAAGGATGGATATTCAAACAATGCACGAAAGGGGCATGTGCGAGCTGTGAAACGCAAAAGGGAAGAGGTCGGGATAACTGGTCGAATGCCAGTGATCAGCTTTCGAGCAGAAGACGCGGAGGGGATCTTGCTACCCCACAATAATGCACTGGTCATCACGGCAGAGGTGACAGGTTTCGACGTAAAAAGGGTGTTCATCGACACTGAAAGTTCGGTCGATGTAATGTTCTATGATTGCTTCGCGCAAATCAACAAACATTTAAATCTGGAGCTGAAGCCGGTGGCGACAGCCTTATATGGTTTTAATGGAGGGGAGGTGATGCCAATGGGCGAAGTGAGCCTAACTGTAGCGCTGGGTTTTGGCAATAAGAGGAAAGTAAGGATGGTCCGGTTCGTAGTGGTTGGTGCAGAATCGTCTTATAATATCATTTTAGGATGGACAGGTTTAAACGCGTTCCAAGCGGTCGTGTCTACATACCACATGATGATCAAATATCCGGTGGGGGAAAATGTGGGCGAGATTGCTGGGGACCAGCTCACGTCGAGGAGTTGCTACCAAACTACAGTCAGCAATAACAAACAGATGGCAGAAAAGCAATTGAAAGGCAAGGAAGAGAGGCCCGATCGACCAGGAGGGTCGAGAACGAAGGAGGAAAGGGGATGGCAGGATAAATGAAAGGAGAAGATAGACATACAACTCGGGGGTGAAGTCGAAGAAGTTCAGATGGTGCAAGGATGTGATGATCGCAAGTTCAGGATTGGAAAAGATTTGGAAGAACCGATCAGGTCGAAGCTGGTCAGTCTAATAAGGGAGTTTACAGACATCTTCGCGTATACAACGGATGAGCTAACGGGGATCGAAGCAAGGGTGATCGAGCACAGACTCAATATTGATCTCAGCGTAAGGCTAGTAAAACAGAAAAGGGGGCATCGTTGAAATGGACAAAATTATCGAACAGGAGGTCGAAAAGTTGTTGAACGCCGGGCATATCAAGAGAATCCAGTTTCCAGAGTGGTTGTCCAACACGGTAATGGTATCCAAATCGGGAGGGAAATGGAGGATGTGTATCGACTTTCGTGACCTGAATAAAGCATGCCGAAGGATCTGTACCCACTACCACGGATTGACCAGCTGGTAGATTCCACGGCGGAGTGTGAGCTGCTCAGTCTAATGGATGCCTCACAAGGGTACCATCAAATTCCCCTAGCGAAGGAGGATTGGAAGAGGGTGAGCTTCATAACGAGCAAAGGCACTTACTGCTATGTAGTTATGCCGTTTGGGTTAAATAATGCCGGAGCGACTTATCAAAGGCTGGTCGACCAGATTTTCAAAGACCAACTAGGGAAGAATATGGAGGTATATGTCGACGACATGTTAGTGAAGAGAAAGGTGGAGGCGGATCATGTGGGGGACCTGAGGGAAACTTTTCAAACACTGAGGAGGTATGGTATGAAGCTCAATCCAGCCATGTGCTCATTTGGTGTCAAAGCAGGGAAGTTCTTAGGCTATATGGTGACAAAGCGGGGAATAGAGATAAACCCTGAGAAAGTGAGAGCAGTAATGAAAATGAAACCACCTACCAGTGTGAAGTAGGTTCAAATACTAACTGGTCGAATAGCAGGGTTGAGCAGATTCATCTCTAAAGTGGCTGAGAAGAGTGGCCCTCTGTTCAAGACGTTGAAGAAGAGCTCGAAGTTCCAGTGGACGGAGGAAGCCCAGAAGGCCTTCGAAGAGTTGCGAGAGGTGCTGGCAAACTTGCCCTTGCTAGCTAAGCCAACACATGGAGAAGAACTTG